ACTATGCATATACCATGCATATACTATATGAGATGCATGATGTTGTTGTAAAACCTTCATTTTGGACAGTTGCTGTGATCGATCAGACATTAGGTTATAGTGGCAACCTTCACTGTATGATGTTGTTGTAAAACCTTCATTTTGGACAGTTGCTGTGATCGATCAGACATTAGGTTATAGTGGCAACCTTCACTGTATGATGTTGTTGTAAAACCTTCATTTTGGACAGTTGCTGTGATCAATCAGACATTAGGTTATAGTGGCAACCTTCACTGTATGATGTTGTTGTAAAACCTTCATTTTGGACAGTTGCTGTGATCGATCAGACATTAGGTTATAGCGGCAACCTTCACTGTATGATGTTGTTGTAAAACCTTCATTTTGGACAGTTGCTGTGATCGATCAGACATTAGGTTATAGTGGCAACCTTCACTGTATGATGTTGTTGTAAAACCTTCATTTTGGACAGTTGCTGTGATAGATCAGACAGATCAGATAGATGGACGTTTCCAGTTACAGGAAGAAGTGAAGTAAGAATGACTTAGTTAATTGGAACTATTTATAACTTGTTATTCATTTTTATCCCCAAAACAATTTTCACTTTAAAAAAAAACATCAATAATACAATAATAAAGACCCAATACAGTTATGCAGTTAGCTTGTAATTAGAATTTCACCAGAAGAAAATCACAGAATGTGTATCATATATCTTTAAAAACCCATTTATCAAAGATGCTCTTTTTGTAAAGTATTTTATATTAAAACAATTATGAATTTGCAAATCAGCAAATCATATGACAACTACATATCACATGTATGAGAATTAAATCTTGAAAATTTTGACATTTCATAGACAGTGCGATGAAACAAAGGTCAGTGGCAATAGTCATCCATGTGATCCAGTCAACTGTATGCAATATAATCAAGAAGGATATCTGCCTATGAAAGTGACACAAATCACGTGTACACAAGTTTCCACAATGTATCCATTGAAATGTCACACATGTCAAGGGTTTTCATGCTGTTCTATGCAAAGATATATCAATCATGACACCAGATAGTGTCTAGTGATTTCTCTGAAATTAGACTGTTGAACTAGGAACTGAGAAACTAGTCCTCATACAATAGATGGAATATGAAAAGCATGCAGGGAGCAATGGTGTGCTTTTAACAGGACGGCTTTATGACAGAGCTTTTTGCAATGGAAATTATACTACAAGACTATTTTCAAGAGTCAAGACCATCAGACAGTACATGACCAGACACAGAATGGCTCAAAAATTAATTTTTAACCTCTGTAGTTTTAGTGGCTGCAAAATGATTCCTAGACCTGTATCAGCATCATCACCATGTAACTGTGTACATGTTTCTACTACTTCAAATAGATTGATATATAAAGCAAAAAGTTGCAACAAATAAATGTTTTAATATGGTGAAAGGTCTTAGTATATCATTTAATATGCATTAACCCATGAATAATTTTTAAACATTAATCACTTTAAATTGCTATTATTTCAACTGTTCATTAACTGTATTCCAAGTTCTACAGCTTCAAGAAGTACATACTTGGTGACTCCTTGTTGTTGCTGTCTTGTCTTTTTTTCAAATCCACCATGTGCTTCTTGTATGTTGGGTTTGTGCTCATCTTGCATTGAATCTAAAACTTGGAGATATGCTTGAGGAGCTGTTTCACCTGTATCTTGGGACTGCTGAACTGTATTCAGCAACCCTTGTAACTTCTGTAGTTTATCTTTAGCAGCTTGTAGCTTCCTAATGACAAAAAATATTTTAAAATTTCAATCCTAAAAAGTTTCATGATTACTACCTTTCAACAAATTCTGTATTAAACCGAAATGACCACTAAGCAGGTAATCCACACTAAATTCATTAACCTAGATGTTTTATAAGACCATTATATCCTGATCATGATCAGTTTAACTCACTAATCTTTCAGACTTGTGCCAAAATACAGGAGGGCTACTTTAACTAACCATTCCCAATTTTGAACTGAAGGCTACAACGAAGGCACCTAGTCAGTAGCAGCCACCATGGACTACTCTAATCACACACTGCACCTTGTCAGTAGCAGCCACCATGGACTACTCTAATCATACACTGCACCTAGTCAGTAGCAGCCACCGTGGACTACTCTAATCATACACTGCACCTAGTCAGTAGCAGCCACCGTGGACTACTCTAATCATACACTGCACCTAGTCAGTAGCAGCCACCGTGGACTACTCTAATCATACACTGCACCTAGTCAGTAGCAGCCACCATGGACTACTCTAATCATATACTGGGATCTGACCATCACTTTTATACTATATCATAACAAAAAAGCGAGGAACATGTTTCTGAAGCAAAGAGTCCTAAATCATAGACCCTCCAATTCACAGTCTAGCATGCTACCCACTAGGCTACACCCAGCCTCTGACAAGAAGAGAAGACACTATGTTACCACTTCATCAACTTCTAATGTAATACACAGCTTAGTATTCTACATACAAAAATATACACAAGGTTGAACTTTTAAAATTGCTTTAACAGTGAAACTTATGTAGTGTACTGAATTAATATGATAAAGATTAGTGAGAATTTACAACATAAAAACTTTATAAACTTATGCTTCACATACTTCCTTTCTTTCATGTGTATGTAATTAACCTTTTATTTAACACCCAACCAAGGTTTTACCTGACTTTATCTTTGCAGTTCCTTTTATTTAACACCCAACCAAGGTTTTACCTGACTTTATCTTTGCAGATCCTTTTATTTAACACCCAACCAAGGTTTTACCTGACTTTATCTTTGCAGATCCTTTTATTTAACACCCAACCAAGGTTTTACCTGACTTTATCTTTGCAGATCCTTTTATTTAACACCAAACCAAGGTTTTACCTGACTTTATCTTTGCAGATCCTTTTATTTAACACCAAACCAAGGTTTTACCTAACTTTATCTTTCCAGATCCTTTTATTTAACACCAAACCAAGGTTTTATCTGACTTTATCTTTGCAGATCCTTTTATTTAACACCAAACCAAGGTTTTACCTGACTTTATCTTGCATTTCTAGATCAGTTTCACTAGGGTTCTGAGTGGTAGATGGAGGTGGCTGAGACACTGCTCCTTGTCCAGCTACATTGTCAGAGTCTTCATTTGCACTCCCCTCTGCTTCATAATGCCTTCTTGCAGGAAACCTATCTTGCTGGTCTCGCCTGAGGTTGTCTTTTTTAGCCTGTCTCGAGGGAGGTAAAGGTGCTTGCTTCGCATCACCGTGTGCCAAAGCCTGGGAACTGACGTTAAAAACAAATGTTACTGTTCTAACTCATTTGTGTATTTTTGCATTTTAAGCAAATAGTTTGCAATGTGATGATTCTTGAAGCTCATCAGCTAGAGCAAGATGTTGTGAACCATGAATTATTCAGCATCTGTATATATGAACACTGGGGGAAATGTTAAAGCATTAACTTGGACTACGCATATTCAGTACAGCATGTTACAGATTTCAGTGTTCTTCTAAAACAGGCAAGGTATCTTTTATCACAGAATAAACTGAACTTTGAACAAACTGATAAATCATAAGACTAATGATGTTTTCACATAGGGATTAGAAATACTTGTTCACACAAACTTACAAATTTGAGTTTTAAAAAAAATACATATTAAAAATGAAAAATGCATACTAACTTCCCTCTTTTCACAACTTTAATTAGTCTACAACAAGACATTTTTTGGGGGCCACTAACTGTTAATTCATTGGCTTTAATAAATAGTAGCATATTGACCTCATTTCAACTGATTTTACAAATAGTAGAAAAATAATGACCATGCTTTGAACTAATAAATTTTAGCCATTTTCTTTATCCAAATATAATGTGAACAAGTATTGCTTCAATACCAAAGTCCTGAAGTGTAGACATTTTGATGTGTCATGTCAATAACTGTTATACACGTTGTTTTGTTTCCCAGGGTTGTAGGAGGACATTCCAATCACTGATAAATACCTTAGTGTAAAATAAACATCAAGTATGGTAAAATTACCCAGACAAAGTTTGCAAGTTAACTGAAACAGGTATTTTCTTTAGTTTGCAACAATGGATGAACACAATAAAATTTATCACATGTGATAGATTAATCTTATGAAGATTTAAATAGACATATAATATATGTTAAAGTTGCTGTCAAAATACACCAAGTACTACATTTCATAAATTTAAGATCAGTAATATATTCTTAACTATAACTATTTTTTTTATTAATTACTTATATAGCAATATTAATAAATTGGATACCCTAAAAATAAATAATCTTTCATGTCTTACCAACGAATACTATTAATCTGTTGTCAGATGTTCAAATATGGTCAATTCTATATAATAATATGAAGGTTAATTTTTTAATGATATAAATACCTTACTTCTGATAGAGATGTTAAGTGTAATGGCTTTAAATCTGTACTTTGTTTATCAGTGGTATTTGAATAAATACATTTTAAATAAAAATCTAAAATGAACTTCAACAATCTCAGCTACCTTGGTCCGAGGAATTTGGTTTCTTGTCTATTATCTTTGGGCAGCTGGTTGAAGTAATCCTGGAATTCTGCTGCTTCTGGATCTTGCAGGTTATCTACCATTGATCTTAGTTGCTGCAGTGTCTTCTTCATATGTTCCAGTTTTCTAAAAAACATCAATAATCGTGGAAATATTTGACCACTATCTAAAAAATCTGATTTATGAAGATTTTGTAAAGTAACTGCTGCTTCATGAGTACCCTGATTTTTGTGACACTTCATATTATACACTAGAAGGCACAGAAAAAAAACACATCATGAACTTTTAAATAATTTAATCAAATGAAAAACGAATTTGTATAATGTACGTAAACAATGATATTTTATATTAGAAAAATTACAGCATTTTAGAATCAGATTGTGTAGTAAGTTGTAGCTATCAAACTATTTTCTAAGTATTTGATTTCCGAGAATATACTGACCTCATTTTTTCTCTAGTTTCAAATGAATCCAACAGTTGTTGGGCTTCTTTCAGAGTAGTGTCAGCAGATAATGACTGTGAAGCCCTTTGATTTAGTTTTACAGCAGTTTGAGATCCTGTAAAACAAGGTGATTCTGATGAGCAGAGTGGGTGTGTTGAAAAGCAAACATAAAACTCTTGTTTATTTATTCCAAACTGTACAAAGATATTACACATACAAAACCAATCTGTGATGATTATCATATGTGGTTATCTGCCAATAAATGAAAATTCGGACGGTACAGTATTGGCCTGTAAAGTTCCACATGACAAGTGGCTATCACTTTTCATACTACACACATGAAGTTTGAGTATAATTTCAATCCCTTACTGACTAGTATTTGGTATGTTGAATTACTTCCTATATAATGGAGTAGTTTTAACTAAAACGAAAATAATATGTCTGATGAAGTTGCTTGTCTAAGAAGAACCCTGGTGCAAGAGTTTTGTTTATTTTAATTCTAAGAAGAACCCTGGTGCAAGAGTTTTGTTTATTTTAATTCTAAGAAGAACCCTGGTGCAAGAGTTTTGTTTATTTTAATTCTAAGAAGAACCCTAGTGCAAGAGTTTTGTTTATTTTAATTCTCAATCATGGATTTTTATTTTTTGAAAAAACTTAATTTGGGGAATTGCAAAGAGTATTCTTCAGCTATGACAGCTCATAAACAGAGGGTCATTTCTTATTATCATAAGAATAAGTAAAAGTAAATGTATTTCTACACATGGCATTTTTTTTATATCAGTGTTGTTTTCATGTTATATTTCTACTGTTGAACAAAGTCACCTAACAAATTTCCTCCTTGTAAACTTGATAGTTCCCTCAACAGTTGGTCCATTTGGCTTTTCTTCTCCTGCAGTTCTATCAGCTTGTTTTCTAACTTGTTTTTGTGCCAGCTAACAACAACTTCTTCTGGGACATCTCTAACTAATTCTTCACCCTAGAGTATTAATTAAAACAACATAAAATAATTTACCTTATACTAAATATTCTCTATTTTAATAATGATAAATATTCAACATCAAAAACATATGCCTGTGATATACATCAGTCCCCACTGGGCTTCAGGTTTCACTCAATCATCCACATTTAAGGTAAACCATTTATAAGGATCTTACAGTGACATGGATAGTGAGTGTGTTCAATGCTGCCTATGTATCATTACATATTTTTAATTACTTTTTTTGTCACAATTTAACAGAGAATGTACAAATACAAAATTTAATACATGCTACGGTAACTAGATAAAAACTAATTTATAGTTTTACCATCTTTACATTAAAAGGAATAAATGGCCACTTAATACCAGATAACAGTAATAATAAACAGCATGTTCATTTAAGTAATTAATTCAGGTTTAAAAATTTTGCTCTACACAGTTTGAAATGACATTTAACATATCATCAACAAAATTTTAAAAAGTCGTAGCTATCATTCACTAAGTTCCAGTAATGTTTTCTATGCTTCCATATATCTATAGCAATCTAGAAACAAAAGCTTTGTTGTAGTAAGAAAGTAATCAGTGTTTTGTTTTTTTTATCAACAAATGAGTTACTAATTAGGCCTTTCAATGAACCTGAATGACTTGAGTGTATCAATACTAATCCATTCTGAAAAAACAAGCAATCAATTTCCCTTGTATGTATACTATAAAACTCTCTGGATACCAGAAGTTAATAACTTGCTATCACTACCATCTTACAGTTACATTCAAACTTTAATTTGTCTACTCTATTATCAATCAATAAGGATTTATACTATAAAACTCTCTGGATACCAGAAGTTAATAACTTGCTATCACTACCATCTTACAGTTACATTCAAACTTTAATTTTTCTACTTTATTATCAATCAATAAGGATTTATACTATAAAACTCTCTGGATACCAGAAGTTAATAACTTGCTATCACTACCATCTTACAGTTACATTCAAACTTTAATTTGTCTACTTTATTATCAATCAATAAGGACGGCATCAAAACTTACGTAATAAACTGAATTTTAATACAAGTTTTAATTTCGAAAGGAAATAGTTAATCTTCATTTTTCTGTATCACATGACACTACGAACTACACATTTTACAATCTTTATACATCTATTTATGCTTCTGAATTTTAATGCAAATTACAAACTTATACTATAGATATTACTAAGATATAATTAACTTTATAGCATTCAATCTTCTTTACTTGATATAAATCAGAAAGTCCAACCCACATGTCATGACCTCCTATCACAGATTTTAATTTACTGATTCAACTTTTCAATTACTTGGCATACAAATAAGTTATATCACCAAGTTCAGCAGGACCAGCTAAAGGAAATATTTTACTGCACTCATAGCTTAGCTAGAAAACCAGTTGAACTGTAATAGGTCTGGGGTACCTTAGGTTTTGTGCATGTTATCATCTTGCATTCTAAACTGACTATTTGAAATAAATAAAAATTCAGTAAAGTACTAACAACAACTCTAGCAAACATTAGATTAAACTTTTATAAATGCTTCAATTCTCTGACTGCAAAAAAGTACAAAACCCATAAGTAAGTATTAAATTTATTGATTTTTAATGTATTAATTGTCCAATAAATTTATTTATTTATAAATGTAAAATTGTACTATTCAAACTAAGGTGTTGAAATAGGTGTTTCTGCTGGCAAGTTGCTGAACAAGTAATGTTTAACATTTGTATCAAACATATCAAAATTGTTATCTCTAGCAATGTAGTAATCCAAAATCCAATATTAATTTTATTTCATAGTTTGATTTACAAGTATAACAGTTATGAACACTAATACAATGCAGATGTGTATAAATAGTAACTCAACACTACTTGCCTTCTGAGTATGATCTGTTATCTCTTTCAATAGCTGCAGCTTCTGATGAACAGACCTTTCAATCTCACCAACAGATGGAGCTGCACATCTAGCTTCCTCTTCCACAGGAAAATTCTGAGGTTCTTTATTCCTAGTGGACACAGGAATATATGTACTGGCAGCTTGTCCCCAGTTAGAATCCAGATCATTCCATGTCTCGTATGCACCAACGCTAGAGTCATGCACTTGTCCTGATTCTGCCATTTTCAGAGAGTTACCACCCTTGTGGTCATTACCACGATCTTTATTCCAACCTTCATCACGATCAGGTGGTTCTTTAATGGCATCTGAATGATTCAATATCAGAATTAAAGGTAAAAGGAAACCTCTTTATGGTAACTTCATCAACATTCCATTCACGAGAGTGATGATTTTTCATAAGAAATAAATTGATTTTAACATATCAAACATGCATTATGAAGTCTTCTTTATATATCTTTTCACTAAGAAACAAAGATAAGGTACAGTTGAAGGTATATAAGAAAGACATGTCAATTAACAAAAACATGACAGATAAATATTCACAAATGATAAAAAATGAATCCAAGGAGACAAGTTTAATGGCTGCAAGTCAAATTGACTGACAATGGAAAACTAAACAAGTAAAACTATAATGAATTTTGTTGTGAAAAAAGTGTGATGCTATTGGATAAGTATTGATTTTTTCCAAGTTTTAGTTAAAAATTAAGTTCTTTCTTCCCACATTTATTATACTTCAATGTTAGCTCACATTGAAATCAAAATCCATAACTAATTTAAATGTACAACAAAGTTTTACTTACACAACTCTTACTCCATATAATCTAAGCACAGTGCTTAACTCTCTCGACACAGGCTCGGTCAATTTGACCGACCACGTGACCTCTTTGTACTCATTTAAACTCTTTATAGATTTAATACTTCTAACTTTCAATATAGTATGTATATCTTCAAAAATTTGGCAGTCTTTCAGTTAATATTACAAGTCTTTTACATACAAAAAATTATATTTTTAGTGAAGTATTTTTAATAAAATAAAATAAAGATTTGTCCATTAATATATTGAATATTTGTTTTGACTAGTCTGTGTACAAAGTAATTTCATGTTAAAATTAAAATACTTTCTTCATCTCAAAAATCTCAAATTTCCTTTGTTTAATCCCTAAAACCTCCTAAATGTATTTCAA